CTATTTGGCTTGATGGTTGCATATAAAATTGCCATTTGTTCCTTCCGGTTGGAGAGAAAAAAAGTTAAATGAGGGAAAGTTATAGGATGCTTAAACTCTGTTTTACCCCCTTCGTTCACTTTTACTTGTCCATTATTTTAAAAATAGATTTTTATTTTTACTTGTCACTGTGAATACTTAATTTTTGACAACATTTAATTTTTTCACTTCTTTTATGTAAATATTTTAGGGATTTTTAACCTACTATTATTTTAGCTTTATTACACTTTTTATTATAGGATAAAAATATCAAAAAAAAATTAAAAGGTGAATTATCACTATTAATATTTTTTTATTTTTTTTATATAAAGAAAATCCGAAAATATTTATTTTTTAAAAAAATAATAATAATTTCGGGAATGATTTAAAAAATAAGAAAAAGGGAAGTATTGAATAAAAAAATACAAAAGTAAAAATAGGTGGAATTCTCTTTTTTAAAAAGTAAAAGAATGTAGAAAATTAAAAAAAAAGTTTTGTGAAAATTTTTAAAAATTAAAAAGTAAAAGAAGGTTGGAATTAAAAAATAAATATAAAGGTATCTGAAAATTTAAAAAATTTAAAGTAATTGAAAGTAGCATTTTTAAAAGAAAAAAGAAAAAGAAAGTGGTTTATTTTTTTAAAGAAAAGTTAAATAAAGTGAGATTCTCTTTTAAAAAAATAAAAAGTAGGATTTTAAATAAGATAAAAGTAATTAAAGTTGGAATTTTAAAAATAAAAGTAAATAAATGTGGGATTTCTTTTTCTAAAAAAATAAAAGCAATTTGTAAGTGGGATTACTTTTAATTAAAAAATAAAAAAATAATAAAAAATAAATCTGAAAATTTCGAAAATTTTGCTATAAATAAAATAGAAAATTTAGGAAGAAGGGGGTTCAAAAAAGAGGAAAAAATAGATAGAGAGAAGAAGAAAAAGGGGGCGTAGAGAGCGGTATACACTCGATATACACTCTGGATACACTGGATATACATGGACAGAATTCATTTTGGAGAGAGTAAAAAAGATAGAACCAAATTTTCTGAAATATTGAGAACGGAAGAACACCAGAGAGAGTTCAAAACTAGAAAGAGAAAACAGAGAGATTTCCGGACTATTTTTCTTCTCCATTTTTACTAGTTTTCTCCGTGTTGCTGGGATTTCTGGATTGAGGTGTTGAAGCTACTGTGTTGGGCTTTCTGCTGCTGTATTTTGTTGTGTTACTACTGTTGCTGACTGCTCCTTCATCTTCTTGTATTTCCATTATCCAGGTACATGTTCTACAACTCTCAAATTTAAAGGAAAGGAAGTAAAGAGTTGTTGGAATGGATTTCTGAAAATAACTATTTCTTTGTGTTTAATTTGATGTATAAGCAGTAGTTCACTTGATATTTCATAGTATGTATTGGAATGATTTTGAAATGCATAAACTGGACTGATTGAATCTATTTCTACAAACATGGAACATCAATTGTAATTAATCTTAGTTGGTGATTACTAGTTATGAAATATACTGTATTTAATTCTTTTGTTCAATAGTCGTGAATCAGTTTCAAAAAGTGTATGTCACAAAACAGGTTCAAATAGTTTATGGAAATCAGCATGTTGGTTAAATAGGTCTAATTCTGAAATCGCGAGTTCACTTGAGTAAATAACATCATTTTAAATAGCAATGTAAATAATGTTAGTAACTAATGTTAGTTCTTGAATGTTAGCGATTAATGTTAGCTTGATGTCAGCTTTAAGCATTGATGCATTTTTCAACAAAACCGTAAAAGAAAAAAAATGGTTTTGTATTCCACATAGATTAACTCCAATAATCCAATTCATATAATAAAGCTAAAGTTGAACTGGATCGAAATGGTAGATGGTTTGTTAATATTTACAATGGCAGGCGGCGGATCTTAACTAAGGTAGTGGGTTCAAACTAGAAGGTGTTTCCTTTTTGTTTGGACCCGAATTTGAATTTGAAGCCCGAACTATTAATGCTAATTGATTAGGATTTTTCTTTATTCTTAGAGACCAATAAATAGGAAATCATAGTCGCTTTAGGATATCCTTGAATAAAAAATGAGATGATCCTCGCCGAATAAAAAATACAAAGGCCCTCAATAAATATATGTTTTTAAATACTTAGACTTAGGGACGGACCGTTTAGCCAATTTCACGGCCTTCCCCAAAAGATAACAACGCGCAAATCACTTTTGGCGTGCTTTAAATAATTTACTCTCTTAAACTCGGGTGCACATTTATGTGACCCAAATCCAAATCTCAGCGAAGTCGAAATGTGTCGCTAATCACGGGTACATTGATTATGATGTGGTTTAAGATGCATTTCCACGACGTTGCAAATTCCTTTTAAAAAATAATGAATGAGACGAACCTCGACAAACAAAAATACACAAGTTGCGGGGCCCTCTATACGTGTTGGTAAAATTACTTAGATTTCGGGATGGACCGTTTAGCAAAATTTCACGGCCCTACCCAAAATAATGATACGCTAGTCGCTTTAGGCACGTATTTAATAATGTTATCTTCTTAAACTTGGTTGCACATTTATGTGACCCAAATTTAAATCTCAACAGAGTTGAAATGTGTCAATAACCACGGGTGCATTGATGTGACGTGGTTCGAG